CACTATATAAATAAAATTGAACAGAATTATTTAACACAGAAAACTATAGTCAGATTTTGATCTGCAATGCAATTCCACCTGGAAAGTGTCGGATTGGCAGTGGCTTTGTTGTTCAGCATGACAGTGCCCACAAACATGCTGCTAACATAGTAAAAGCATACCTAAATACAAAAACACATAGTGAGACACTATCAGTCGGTGTATCTTTCTACTGTACAATATAAAGCATCTTGAGGCAACTGTTGTTGTGATTTGGCACTATATAAATAAAATTGAATTGAATTGAACTGAATTGGCCTCTCCAGAGCCAGGACCTCAAAATTACTGAAGCAGTGTGGAAACAGAACAAAAGGCAGAAGAAGAAGAAGAGCTTCCTTCAAGAAACCTGGAGAAATTTTCCCGAAGACTACTTAAAGAAATTACAAGAACGCTGCCTAAAAGAGTTCAGGCTGTATTGAAGAACAAAGGTGATCATGACAAATATTGACTTTCAAGCGTGTTTGAAGATTACACACTCTGTTCTTTCTGTTCTTTCCTTATATACTGTATTTCCATGTATGTTTGCATGTGTTTCAATAATCTCTGAACATGTTTCCCATTTTCCTAGTAAAATATGAAGAAAAGAGGTGTGGCTCAAGACTTTTGCACATCACTGTAAATAGTAACCTTGTTTTTTTCTCATTGGACAAATGTAATGCATTGGTAAGCGTTGCTTTTCAGATTCAAGTAGAAATATGTTTTGATTGAGAAATTCATCATTATTAATTAACAGGGTTGTTTTGTATGTAAAAACAAGGCTATAAAATTCCCAGTTGAGAAACAAGTCACCTGCAGTGTAACCACATTTGTACTGTCTAAGAGGCAAAGGGTGTGTTTACTCATTCAAACAGTAAAAGTGGCTTTATGGACTGTCTGTGTTTGCTGTGTAAACAGTTGTCTTTGTCTCCTGGCATGCTGTCATTTTCACATCATACATTAGCAACTGGGATAGATCTGAATCGAAATCTTACACATCTCAGTAGAAATAATATTTAAAAATATTAAATGATCTATATTTTAATTTTTGTAATTTCAAAAAGAGCAATAATGGAAAGAATCTGCATCCTGATATTTACATTATTAATCCAGTGCAATAAAATCACAGTCACAGCCCAGTACAGCTGCGCTGTAACAATTTATAAGCACAGTTTTTATATCAAGAACATTAAAAGATTATAAATAATAAACATTTTTCATGTTTTGTAACCACCACGGAGCAAATATCCAAAAGATCAATTACCAGACTCCATGACTTGTACCATGATATGCTCTCCTGCCAAAATTTGCCAACTCCCCCTGTACAATCAACAGTGATGCTGATGTTACACCATCCAAAATGGACTATAATCAGTGTCTGCGTGTAACCTGGCACTAAAATCGTGTTAGATGATAGCGGTTGTTTATTTAAATTTCTGTTACTGGACTAAAAGGTCGCTTTCATCTGTATTAACAGAAGATTAAAGAAGTTCTGGCTAAACTGAGTTGTTGGTCTCTGTGAAAGAAACATTAGCAAAAAACGAGGGGAAAACCAAACAGACTAATTATTGTGTCCATGTTACCTTCATGTGATGCTGTTCCATCTATATTTAATTCTAGGTATACCATGTTGGTGTCGCAATGCTTTTGATGCAGTCTCATCTATCTCCTGCATAAGACCTTTATTAGACCGGCTTATTTTTCTGCACAGACTCTGTTATAGTTTTCTTTCAATCCTTAGTGTAT